ACACACACATATATATATATATATATATATATATATATATACACACACACACACACACATATATATATATATACACACACACACACACACATATATATATATATATATATATATATATATATATACACATATATACAGTAATTCATTTAAATTTTAGGCTTTTGAAATGTTACCTCCAATCTGCTCAACTAATTTAATCAGTTTTTATAGAGACATTAACTTCCTATATGTACAGACAAATAAACTCATTCACCAATTCTAAATCATTTTAGGGACTTTTAAACTTTTTTGTTTTCAAGTTTCAGGATTTCAAATCAAGATCTGTTGGCTTTTTTTATTTTTTATTTGACATATTTTTAGATTTCACTCAACTTTCTGAAACATAGTGATATTTGTTGTGATGAATCACATATTTAATTAGGCTCCCCTTACAGATGGATAATAAATAGTTTATAGATACATTATTAATTCCTCTATAAACACTTTATAATTCATTAATAATTGTTTATTATGCATTAATTAAGGATGACAGAGACAAAACTGACCAGTTTCTTGCCAAATAGTGAGCCAAATCTGCCACCTATAGATTTCATCTAGTTGTTATATTAAACATTTCAGACTAAGTTACTACCCTGTAAGCACAATAAGCATTTGTAAAACTACTCTTTTATGATATATTACTTGTAGATACTTATAATGCAGTGATAAAGTACAATATTATATGCTAAAGCATTATAGGTATAAGGGGAGCCTTATTGTAAAGTGGTACCATAAAGTCCAACTGCTCAGCTCCAAAAACAAACAAACCAAAACAACCAGAAAATCTTTTTTTTTTTTTTTAATAACATGGTTTCCCTGAGAAGAATGACAGTGTTCATATTACTTTGATTTAGTTTAAAAAGTAAAAACTAAACATTCAGAGCATCACGATCGTGATCTGCAACCTTGTCAAGCAAAAATGACAATCTTCTCTGTAAAATGTACTTGAGTCTCACTCTGCAGCAAGTTTTCACTGACTTGATGTAACGTTAACGTGTCACTGGAACCTCTTGAGGAAGTCCTGGTACGTTTGTCTGTGAGCAGACGCAGCAGGAACAAAGTGGCCCCCGGGATGAACGAGGACTTGAGGGTCGTGGAAGGATGGAAGAAGCTCCCTGCTCATGCTGTCAGGGATCACTCTGTCTTCCAGCCCAAACACATGCAGAGACGGGACCTGGAGAGGAGCCGTGTAGAACTTTTCATGTTCCTTACAGGCGCTGCGAAAACCAGCGACAAGAATGACGAAGCGGAAGTTGAAGTGAGGCTCCAGTTTCTGCTCCTGAAGAGAGCACAGCATGGCCACGAAAGCTGCTCCCTGACTGAAGCCCAGGATGCCGTCAAACGGACCTTGGGCCGTTACGGCTTCTCTCACAGCCGCCACGCTCTCTTCAAGACCGAGGCTCTTCTCACACTGCTGCTGAGCGCTGAAACTCTTAGCCTGGATGTCAGAAAACCACCAGCCCCTTGGGTCCTCATCCCCTCCTGGTCCTGAATTATTCTCCTTGTTTGGAACATCTTTAAAAACAAAATAAATGTGTATTTATAACTATTCAAAGAAAATCAACTCTCTTTTTCTTTCTTTATTTTAAAAAACATTTTAGATTTTCTACTTTTATCTGAAGATAGTGGATTGGCTTTAAGTGCTAAGCACACACAAAAAAATATTTAAATTAGAAATGTTGTATTAACAAACTTAACCTATTAGTGACTCGTAGTAGCTGACTGCATAAAATAGTTAGTAGGTTTTAGGTATGGTTGTCCAGTTTGTGTTGCTTTATAATTTAATTTCTCGATGCTTTAAAATATTTCCACTCATTTATCTGACAGTCCAGAAGGGACATTAAAAGATGCTTTTCCCCAATGAAACTCCAGCTCTACATGGGGGATCCCAAGGCGTGTCCAGGCCAGAGAGAATACATAATACCTCCTGAGAGTTCTGGGTCTTCCTTTCAGTCTCTTAACAGTGGGATGCGCCTGGAAAACCTCCAGGAGGCGGCACCAAGAAGGCCTAGTTCAAGGGTTGTCCAAACTTTTTCATGTGTGGGCCAAAACTATCAAGATGAAAGGACTTGTGCGCTACAAAAATGTGAATTTAACTCTTGTCGTGAACAATATTTTGGAGAAAGGACAAAAGTTTACTAATTTTAGTGAAGAAAATTTTAAATGGTTTTAGATCCAAAACATTAAAAGTCTCATAAACACTAAGCTTATATATTTTTTATTAAAAATAATTTATTTGATTTATTGGGTCTATGTTTGTTGTTTTCTTGTGTTTGGAAAGTTCATCTTAGTCTGTTCTCAGCAACAAAAGCGTAATATGAATAAGTATCCTTTTAAAAGGGGTCGATCAGCCTTTTGGACCATGGACAGCCCCAAAGGCTGATGGAAGTTCTGAAAATTCATCCAGCTGGCAGTCGCTACAACAGATTCACAGAAGGTTTGATAAAGTTGATCAATTCGTACTGTCGAACCTTCTCTTGCTCTGTTCTACCATGACCCCTGAACACACCATGATACCTGAGCAGAGACTCACCCACCTTCTTTCAGTGGAGCAGTGCACCTTACAGCTATTTCTTTACTGTTAAAAACAGCCTCAGAAACAAATAAACTATTTATATTTAGCCATTAATGACTATTTTGTTAAACACGACAAAAATATGCTGTCAATATTTTTGTTTCCTAATTTATTTTGATTTCCGGAAGTGACACGACCCACAGTCAGTGTGACACCATTTGGGAAACAATGATTTAAAACCTGTTAAACTTTGACAACTAGTTTTTATATTGTACTTGCTTTTTTTCCTCCCCTTTTGAACATCCAAATATGTGAGTGTACAGTCTGTACACTCACCTGGTTACAGAACAGAGCGTAAACTAGCTAGCATGTCGTGCGGTGCTTTTCTACTTCCGGTTCAAGTGTTCGCTACCTCAGTATTTATGATTTGTTGAACTTGACCCACCTCCTTCTTCTGAGCTGCTTCTCTGCACGGTGAGCGGCGCATTCATGAAAGCCAGCTCCACCTGCTTCTTCAGCAGCTTCCTCAGAGCTCCGGTCTTTTCACGGAACGAGCTGCCGTTCTGACGGTAACCGTGAACACACAGAACCCGGAGAGGAGCCATGACGAAAACCGACCGGGCGGACAGAAGCGAACGGACAGTTTCTGTTCCGAGTGTAAGAGTATTAACGTCATAAAACATAAATATATATTTTTATGCGAACAAAACCTTTAACTAGACACAAAAAAAGTATACGAACAACGAGGAACACCGTTTTAGTGTCTGAAATTGATAATGTAGTTAAAAATAAAGGGGTATTCAAGTTAACCGGAAATAAACTGACATGTACTTCCGGTCGTTTATTTTCAAAGTAAAATTACCTTAAATAATTGTAAGTACTGTATTGTAAAATCAATAATCAATAACTCCTGAATTGTATTACAAAAATGCCCGAGATTTAAACCAGACCCAAATACTAAAGACAACAATATTATCCTTTGTTTAAACATTACTGCTAACTTAGTGGGAGTGGCGGCACAGCGGTTAGAGAAAGTGGGCCTGTGATCGGAAGGTCTTCGGTTAAACTCCCAGTACCGACAACATCAAAATGTAGGTGGGATAGGTGAAGCACCCACACCTGCCTCCACCCTCATTTGCCCCACTCTGGGCCCTTGAGCAAGCCCCCCCAACCCCCACCATCTGCTCCCCTGGGTGCTCCAGATATCAGCTCTCTGCTCCACACAGAGGGCTGTGGTAGCTCGGTGGTCTGTGGTTGCATTAGGAAAGGCATCCGGCGTAAAAGTAACTGCCAAGTCTTCGTGCAACTTAGTTCTCTGTGGTGACCCCTGACGAAGGGAGCAGCTGAAAGAAGAAAAAGCTAACAGTATTAATTCATATAAACACCTTCTAAAATGTTTTTGGCCCCCTATCATTTGGTATCCTATTTGTTTGCATTATAAACCTTTTTAAATTGACTCAATATACATTCCATTGTATATTTGAAACTGCTTAAAAATGATCAGTCAGTCTAATATTAAAGTACACATACAAGCAAAAATGCTTGTTTTAGATTTTATAGCTTTTTGATTTTATATTTTGAACTGTTATGACATCTGTGGTCAGGAAAAGGTTAGGAAAACGACAACAAGCCATTTTTTATTCATAAACTCAACTTTATTTTACTCAGAATAGCAAGTACAAGTCAAAAATCAAACCAGAAATTGAATACAGAAAAAACAATATAATATTGCTGTGTATGTGGTCGGCTGTTGTTGCTTGAACTGCAGATTCATCTTTCTTTTCTTTTAAAACGTGACAGGTGTTGGCCAAACAAACGTCTTTCATTTGTGTTGGTTATCACAAGCAGAATCTTCTTAAAATATAGTGGTATGTAGCACTCCAGTGCACTCCTTTTCAGGGACACCACCAAGTCATTGGTTCAGGTATGTTGACGACACCTGGGTTAAAATCAAATCTCAGGAAGTCCAACATTTTACTGACCACATCAACTCTGTGGATAAATACATCAAGTTCACACGAGAAGATGTAAAAAATGGCAGGTTGGCTTTCTTGGACTGTGAGGTCTCAGTCTCTGATAGAGGACATTTGCAAACTGAGGTGTACTGCAAACCCACCCACACAGACCAGTATTTGCAGTTTGACTCCCATCACCCTTTGGAGCACAAGTTAGGAGTCATCAGGACTCTGTACCACAGAGCAGACAGCATCCCCACTAACTCAGGAGCCAGGCAGAAGGAGAAATCCCACACAAGACAGGCTCTAGAGCAATGTGGATATCCTAACTGGGCCTTCCTGAAAGCAGAGAAGAAACCCAAACAGGACTCCAGTCAGCCAACAGGTGAAAAGGAGGAACCCAGACCAGTGGTCATTCCATATGTTGAGGGAGTATCAGAGAAACTGGGACGTTTATTTTCTAAACATAACGTCCCAGTGGCTTTTAAACTCCAAAATACATTACGGCAAAGACTGGTTCATCCCAAAGATCCAGTCCCCCGGCACAAGCAGAGTAATGTTGTGTATGCTGTTCCGTGTCAGGAGGGCTGTGATCAGTCTTACATCGGGGAAACTAAACAGCCACTGGCCAAAAGGATGGACCAGCACAGAAGATCAACATCATCAGGCCAGGACTCTGCGGTCTACACTCATCTCCAGGCCAGCGGTCACTCTTTCAGGGATGAAGATGTTCACATCCTGGACAGAGAGGAACGATGGTTTGAGAGAGGAGTAAAGGAGGCCATCTTTGTGAAAAGAAATCGTCCATTGTTAAACAGGGGTGGAGGCCTCCGGGTTCAACTGTCCCCCTCTTACAATGCTGTGATTGCTAGTATCACCCAGCCCTCTGTGAACAGTAAACAGCCATCAGTGTGCTAATGATCCATTGTTAGGCTGATGGTCCTTCTTGAGCATGTGATCAGCTGGTTTTGGTTGTCAGCAGCAAAACTGGTTGATCCACTCTGAGACGGTGCTATTTATGAGACTGAGCTGAAAACAGCAGCTCAGACTGAGGAAGTCTCTTGGATGAGAGACGAAACGTTTCTACATTTTTTTGTTGATTTGCTTTGTTTTGTTTTTATTGAATGTCCAGAGGACCAGATTTAACTTTTTTTAGATTTTTCTACCTGGATTATTGAGCATGCATCAGGACACTCCAGTGTAGGTGTGTTATCTTGAACATACAACAACATATCTAGATATGTATATACATTTATCTTGTTCTAGATAAATATACATATACATATACATATATATATATATATATA